CAAAAAACCGAAAATTTCATTTTTTGCGATTTAGGACGATGGTACCCCTTACATTTTTGGCAAAAAACCGAAAATTTCATTTTTTCCGATTTAGGACGATGGTACCCCTTACGTTTTTGGCAAAAAACCGAAAATTTCATTTTTTCCGATTTAGGACGATGGTACCCGTTACGTTTTTGGAAAAAAACCGAAAATTTCATTTTCTGCGATTTAGGACGATAGTACCCCTTACGTTTTTGGCAAAAAACCGAAAATTTCAGTTTTTGCGATTTAGGACGATGGTACCCCATAATATATGACGACGGTAATATTTACAACATCTTCTTTACAAGTGATTCGAAATAATAATGTGTAGTCTTTGTTCGTTTCAGAAGTTCATTCTAGAGATTGAATAATTTATGCGCATGCAATTACAATTGCTTTCATACGCTTCCTAATATGTGTAAGTATGCGAGTAAATGGAACTCTTTGTGCTAATACTACACGTGCGAAGATGAATTTATTAATGATAATAGAATCCTAACGACACATAGAGAACGCAATAAAGTTTTTATGAGAAAACAAAATATTCTGATCGTACTTCGATCAGGCTTCGCTTTTTTGTAAGTAAAAACTGTATTGCATCACAGAATATTTTATACTCATATTATTTGATGGAAAAACGTGTAGATAAAAATAGAAAAAAAAAGAAAACTCGAACAGCAGTTACAGATGGCCTTGTATCACTCATGAAGTGAATTTAACTGAAATTGACTGAGCGAATGGAGAATAGTTGGCTGAATCAGCCAACGACTTTGCAACTGCGCACTGTCCACAAAATTTGGCAATTTAACAAAATTGAAAATAAAACCATTGCGCAACAACTTTTGTGTTTACAAAAATCTATAAATTCTAAGCGCAGAGTCAGTGCTTCATTACACAAAACTGAAGGAATGTTTGTATATATTATATGTTAGCCACTTATGACCGTTTATACACATGCAGCAGCTGCAACAAATGCGGTAAGTGCAATATGTATGTACTAATATATATATATATATATATAAATGATTGACTATTAAACATTACAGTGATATTTACATGATGCCATGGTCGATAACCTCAATTTTCAACTGAAGGATTTTTTTTTGTCATTCTGTTAGGAGAGCAACTTACATATGTATTATGAAAACGTTGAAGTAAGTTGTTGTTATTTTCCAAAAAAAAAAAAATCTCTTTTTTCTTCTCATGGAGAATTAATGAAAAGCCACTACCATAACTACTAACTGCTACTATTGCTTGACTACCACAAGCGCAATTCTCTTCAGTTCAGCCGGGTCGTCGTGTCTTTAAAGTGCTTGTCAAAGTTGAAGTAGTGTGCACAAGTGTGTAAGTGTGCAATATGTTTTAAAGAAAAAGTGCAGGTGTGTGCTCGTGCTGCTCTGAAGGTCGACTGCTTTGCCCAGAATTGCCCAGAATATAAAAATCCAGTATTTTATTTAATCAGTTATTCTTTTTTTCTTTAATTTTGAAAAATTGATTTTAATTACAGGCATTCGCTCCTTTTTGTTAATATGTTCAGTGATAGCTAAAATTACAATGAAGTATAAAATATAAAAAATAAAAATATTTTTATGAAAAAGATAATTGCTAAAAAATTTCATTAAATGTAAATTTGGTTTATAGTACACCTACTCGTAAGTCCACATTTTCGCAATATGTAAGATGCAAAAACTTTACAGCTTTAAATAGACTTACTCTACACAGAATTTCAATAACAAAGCTTCGAATTATTAAGCTTCTGCGGTCAACATCTCTCCCCTTTAAAGTAAGTTTTAAAAAAGCTAAACATTTTTAAAATATTTGCTAACAATTTCTACAACCTAGAAACTCGAACATTCTAGTCGAGCCAGGTAATGAAAATGGCAAATTTTTGACCGCCACAGTATAAAATTCGTGGTAGGAAACAGATAAACGTTTTTCAATTTTTATTCAAGAAGATAGTTATCAACATTTATCGTAAGACAGAGATGTGCTTCTCTCGATTTTTAGTACCAACAACTGACTGGAGGAGAGGAACTGAACCTGTCATTGCGTTGCTTAAGAATGAGAAACGCCAAAATAGCATATACCCGTCGTGAAGATTTCGAGACGATTCCGTCCATGCCACCTCCGTTAATCGAATAATGCGTCACTCGCCAATTGCTGGAGCACTTAGGATTAATTGCGCCCCCAAAATTGGGGCTGTGGATAGCAGTTTAGGCTATCAGTCAAATCGAAAAAGAAAAAGAATAATTTAACAAAAATTCATAAATATTATAGTGAATAACTTGCACTTGTTCCTCCGATTTTGTTGGTTTGGATTTTGAATGGTTTTGTGACCAATCAGTTGTGTTCTTCTTTAACATGAGAAGCAGAGCGTATAGATATTAACAGCTTTACCTTCTCATTGGAGAAACGTAGATTTATCTTAGGTGCCAGCTTTTTAAAAAAGACGATTGATGAGAGTGTTAGTTCGCCAGTCGTCTTAAATGAAATTTTTTAAATGTTCCTCTCCGTTCATTAAAGTATTATAGTCTTATATACCTTACTCAATATAGTTCCATCCATTAATCGCTTAACTCACACAGGGTTTAATGTAAGAATTGGTTTGAAGTTTTCATCCATTGTCTCTCAATGTTTCAAACAATGTTCGTTGTAACTCATAAGCACTGCATTGCCAAAGTCAAACCTGAGCGGTACAATTAGTTAGTTAATTAATTAATAGTCGCATATTGCAGGGTTGCCAAATTATGGCTTATTTGCCGAGTTTACCGTTATACTCACAGACTGATGCCTTTTTATACCCTACACCACTTGTGGTACAGGGTATATTAATTAGTGCGAACGCAAAAGCTTAAGTTAGACCAAACTTTTATTATACTGATCGATTCAGAATAATGTTGTATAATAATGTAATGTATATAGTTGTGTACAAGTCGCAGGCCGCAAATTTTTAAAACGTTTTCATGAAATTTGATCTATTGACGTGTTTTGACATAAGGTCAGAAGCTATTGAAAATGGTTCACATCGTTCCACTTTCTCGACCACTCTCTACTCGACCTTGTTTTAAAAAGGCATCTTCCAATAACCAGGCTTTCATGAAAATAATGCCTTTGCATGAAAATAATATGTATTGCATTATTATTAAGCCTTTTTGTGCCACGGTGCACCGTCGCGCTGCTCTCGCTAGTTGTGAAAAATGCCACCGACGCGATAGCACTGATTTTGACATTTCACTTTTGGCGCGCGCAGGTGACGGCCGTGTTACCGTGTTCGCATTTTTATTCATTATATTACATTCTAACTATATTCGATGGCATATTTTTTATATAAACATCGTGATTATTATTTTTTTAATATTTCTTATTCCTGGCTGGAAAAAATAAAGCTGAATCACATACTTCATCGAAACCGACTTTTGGCTTGGAGAAATTGCCACGACGAAATTTACGACGATCTGTGGTATGCAATGGTAAGAACAGAAGTTCAATGGAAAGATCCAACTTGATTTGCTCCATGTGTAAAAAAGGACTGCACGATGTTTGGGTAGGAAAACACGTTTGTAAATAAATCTTGTTTATTTTCCATATACTTTCTGTAATTTTGTTGTCAATAAATATTTAGTATTCAATTTCTGTGTTTTTATTATCACAGTATAAAATCTTCTGAAGAGAATGTTGGAAAAGTTAAGGATGTTGGTGTATTGTAACGGAAATTGTGAATATTTCTCTTGTTCATATAAATTATCTATGAAAATGCATTTTTTTAATGGCATAAAAATGCATATATTGATAAAATATGTATGGCACTACGTTAAAACGAATCAACAACTGTACTAGGCGCAGTGGTATAGCGTACGTAATAGTCGGTCTTGTCCAATTACAATATTTTTACTTATTGCCTCTTAAAATCAGCTTCAGAACCGAACGTCAATTCTATATATTACTTTAATAGTACTGCTAAGCTCATTATCTAATGTACATTTATTTATATTAGAGCCGATAGCCTGTGCTGCTAGTGCTCAACTTCTTCTTTTTTTTTTAGTCTAACAATTTATTTCATTAGCCTAAAATTATAATAATAATAATAATACTTATTGCGTTTGTTCTTTTTGTTTCCTTCTCCTAGGATCTTTCCTGCCTGCGTAATCTTAAGAATCATTGCAAATTTCATTTTGTAATAAAACAAAAATGAATTGAATAAATAAATAACTGAATAGGTATCCATAACAATAACTCAAGAGTATCCACCAAGATAACTATTATTGATTATATAATCGACTTTAATCCAGAAAAAAAAAACATTCACACAAATCCGTGTTACACTTGCAAATAAGTGCCAGTGAAAAATAGGAATGAGATAAGCACAGTCTTTGGGGAAAAAATTGCTTAGCTTAACTTTTTCCTTTAGGGACACTGCACATATACTTGCCATTCAATTTATATAAGTGATATCTTTTAAATTATCAGTGTAATGCGTCTTTAAATAAAACATTTTTCGATAAATATTTTGGTATTTTACTTTACGATACTTAAACGGCCTCCAGTAATTATAGGAAAAAGCAGAAGAAAAGCCAAAAAAAAAAAGAGCGACTTGTCCATTTCAATCAATGTTTATATACACCGTTAATTCAGTTTATATACAATTTACAACAAACTAAAGGAAATTTGACGTCGCCATGAGACGAATCCACTTTACATGACGTTAATGCTAAGCTAGATGAATATTATTGTATACAATTGACAATGCTATATATATGTTGTATATATATATATATATACATATATATATAATTTTATTTAATCTATTTGAGTTTCTATTTATATAAAAGACTTACACATACATATATTAACAATTATTTTACATTTGTTTACTTTAATGATAATGTTTTCTTCGCATAAAATAGATTGGAAATAATAATGAAAACTAAAAGTAAAAATGTGATGTGTGATTCAACATGTTTTATGAACATAATATGCACGCCTCTATTTGTATGTATACGTATAAACGAAACAACAACAAAAAAGAAATTAAAAGTAAAGATTTTCCATACATGTCTATTCGGGACGTCTACTACTTTCTTCAGATGGTGGTCTCACCCAACCGCCATAACGTTTTTCTATTTCTCGAGCCACCGCTAAGCATAAATGATCTTGGCCCGGATTAGCTACCACTTGTATACCCATCGGTAAACGCCTTCGATCTAAACCGATCATACAATTTGTCACCGGTAAACCCAATGTATTAAATATAGCCATGTACATGGGCTCTAACAGTTTATGATAGATGCGATAATGCTGATGCGCCGTATTTGGGAAGGTTGGATAAAGGAAAACGCCATCATTGCCTAATAGTTCTTTGAATTCAGTCTTTAAGGCTTCGATAATGGTCGCCAAATGCTTATGACGTGAATTGGGTATAATTTTCATAAAGTTCTGTAAATGACCGAATATCACCGAAGGCAGAATACTGTCCGAGCAGCCAAAGAAATATTTAACTGTTTCGGTGCAAACAGTTTTTGGTCGTTGACCTTCCTCGGTTTTATGATAAATAGTCTCAATATTTTTCATTGTCAACATGGCTGATAAAGATATGTCTAGAGACCATTTCATTTTCCTTATATTTACACGTTTCGCATTAAAATCGTTAGCCACACGATTAATGGCCGCATGCAAGTCACGACTTAAGGGTCTCATCATGCCCGATGGACCATCGTTATCCATGAAGAAGAAACGTATGCCGCTCATGGTTACCTCTTTGTCCAAAGTCAATTTAGGACCGTTTGGATCGACCATACAACGCAATAATAACGGTAAATCTTTGGCATAACGAGTCATAGGTGCGATAGTGAAAAAGTCACCCCATTTAGGAAAATCTGAAGTTGGATGATGACCCTTAAATGAAACAGCATATGGCGTCGGCTTATGACCCCAAATACCGCTAAACATAGCGGGTAATCGCGACGAGCCTCCAATGTCCGACGTTAAACCCAACAAGGAAGCTCCACTGGCCAGCAGTGCTGCTTCTCCACCCGACGAACCACCCGGTGTACGTTTCAAATCGTATGGATTTCTCGTTTGACCGGTAACGTTATTATAAGTCTCCCACATTAAGCACAATTCCGGAGTATTAGATACTAGTAAAACTATACCGCCGTATCTTTTAATTTGTTCAACCACCGGAGCATCTGATTTCGCTATCTGTGGCGTTTTAAAGACTCGACCTGCCTGATTCGTTAATCCTTTTACTGCTATACTCTCCTTAACGGTAACTGGTACACCCAATAACGGAGTGTTCTCTTCCATTTCCTCTTCGGTAGTAAGACCCAAACTGATTAGGCGATCAACTTCGCGAGCTTCGTCTAAAGCCTCCTCGAAACGGTCCTGTACGATCGCATTTATCAACGGATTTACTTGTTTGCATCGTTCTATGTATGCCTCTACCACTTCCCCGCTTGTGACCTAAAAATTATAAAACAAAAACAACACCAATAACAATAAATTAATATTAATCGGTTTATTGTTATTTTTGAAGTGTTTGTTTGCACGTAATTGTAATAAAAATCGCAAAAACATATTATTTTCAACTTTTTTATAAAATAAAATCATTAACTAGCAATTACGGTAAAAGGAGCGTGCAAGTAACTTTTATACTGGTATATATAAAATCCTTGGCTGCATTTATGCTGTGTGTGTGAATATATGCATGAGCCATACATGTAAAAATATTACACGCAAAGTTTTAGCATAATTACTTATACAGTCAAAAGGATTCTCATTATTATTGAGTTAGCCAGAGAAATAAATTTTAAGATTAAATTCTTAAAGTACTGGCATCTAATTGAGGCTATCGGCTTTATTAAAAACTGTATCGCACTTGAGATTCGAATTTACGACCATTGAGATGCTAGTCGAGAATCTTTGCCTTCGGCCACTCAGACCGATTCTGTTAATTTTTATGAAAAATTTGGACGAATTTTGTTCTTCGGTTAGTCGTTACCATTATATGAAACTCCACTTTTTACTGCACTAATAATCGTTTTTATGTAAATTAACGGGAAAAGACTCTCTCCATGTTTCGTTATTTGGCTTTGCGTCTTTAAAACTTAATAGCGTAGAATTTTGAGTAAATTTAAGATGTATGCGTCCGTCGCTTGTCTCTTGGAGTAAATTGACTTTATTTAATTTAATATCAATACTAACGTAATTACAATTTTTATTCAATTCTCGTTGTTTTCATATGTCCAAAAATATGATTTGCATGTGAAAATGTTGAAGTATATCTGGAAATATGCCTCACATTTTTTATAGGAAAATCTGCTAAAAATTCTTATCTATTCTATCTTCTATTAATTGCATTTTTTCATAGCCAAGTTCACATTTACTGCACACAGTCTTCATATATATGTTAGCTGATATCGCAATGCTTGCGCCTGAAACATTTCTTGTTTTGAGTCTGGGCCAGGGTATGATGCATCAAAAATTAGTATTGGAGACAAACAGCAAAAGTCCGCGGTAGCGATGTAAGAACAAATTATATTCCTTCAGAGATTCGCCAAGGGAGCATTACGATCAATGGGCAATTCATCAATAACAACCGCTTTGCGGACAATGCAACTATCCTAGTATTTAATATGCAGGATCTGCAGACGATGTTTCAAGCTGTGGATGACTAATGTAATTACTTTAGGTTAAACACAAATATTAGCGAAACCAAATTTATGGTTGTAAGTCAAGCTTAAACTCCATATGCAAATGGCACTCTGTTAAGTAATAACCTAAATGTAGAAAGGGTTTCCAAGTTTATACACCTTGGATCGATTTTGCACGAAGAGCTTTATAGCGCGCAGAAACAAACTTCGAAAACCCAATAAAGTATACGATTTCTTGGCCAATTTCAAAATTGAAATACATGTAAACATGTCCGTCTGTTCATCTGTCTATCCGTCCGTGTGCCCAACTGTGTAATATCTGTGGTAAAGATTCTCACGTTAGCGAAAACGAAGTGCCCCAAACTTTTTAAAGGACACGCCTACAACACCCATACGCCTATGCGACAAATACTTTTATTTTGAAAATAAAAAAAATCATCAGCACCCGGTTGAGTTCTTTTCTCTTTTTTTCGTCTCTCCTAGAATAACGCTGAAGGGCATAAAAGATTCGGTCACGATCGAATATAATTTTCTTAATTGTTTTTTTGTTTTTTGTGCCTTCTTTTTATTAGTTAACAATTTTTAATTTCTTTTGATAAAATTCATTTTTATTCAAAAAAAAATATTTATTTAATTTTTGTTTTTTCTCAAACCGTGTATGCTCTTACCATCGCGCCTTTTACTTCGATTTGAACTTCAAGTTCATTGCAACTAATTAACATTCGTTTCTTGGGTTTTTTTGTGTTGCTTTTCTTTTGTTTTCATTATCCCCGCCTTTCAAAGATACAAATGTATACTTAATTGTGCGAAAAATATAAAAATGCCAGAAATACTTGGCACACTGTTTATAATTTATTTATATGCAATACCTATCTAACTTTACGAAGATGTTCAAAACGATCTTTGTATGAAAGATATAGCAAACAAAAACAATCAGACCGCTCCCGCTCTCATATTCAATTACTTACGATTTCACCGCTCTACTTAGAATCGAATCAAACACATCTTTCCCGGGTAATTAAGTGCGAAGCAGAGACAAGAAAAAAGCCAACTAACTTTCGTTACTTAATACTGATAAAGAAACTTTTATAGGCCCCTTCGACTTAAATATGTATAGATCAGACAGTTTACAGGTTTACTGATTTTACTTTTTTTGTGCACAATTCTTGAGGACCGATTTAATATTGAATATCAAAAGGCTTCGTATACGTGTCTAAATAGAGATCCGTTTACCACTATTGCGCGTTAGTGCTGAATAAGAAAAACGATTTGGAATAAAGATCAGTTTAGTTAGTCGATCTTGATTGAGCGATGTTAGTATTCTTGCGTCGTCGTGTGCACATTTCGTCATTATAAGCATTTTGCTCGCTTTATTATTTTTTAGTTTAATTTTAACGTTAGCGCAATACTGTGACCGAGAGTAAGGTCAATAATGAAGTTAAATTGCGCGAGTTTATCGGATGTCAGAAATATTTTCCTTCTAAATTGAGACATTGTGACGGAAATATGTGTCAAATTTCACGTCACGTCATTAGTGCTTCAGCTGCGCTTGATTTTGTACGACATACAACATACTTTACTTTTCACAATGCATTATTAGCGGAGCTGAGACGTAGACCTACGTTTGCGACCCGAAAACAACCGATGAATCGAGTATATGTTCTGCAAAAAGTGAGCCAAGACGGAAAAAGTGCGCCAAAGTCACTCAAAAATCAAGGTGAGGTCAACGGTTTCCTTCGATTGTTGTGGTGGAGTGTACTATGAACTCGTTCCGCAGAGCGAAGTTGTTGGCAAGGAATGTTATTATGCGACGTTTGCGTGAAGCCATTCGCAAAAAGATGCCGGAATAGATTTAAATTAGTAACAAAATTATATTCGGTCATGAGCGAATCTTTTAAACTCGATATAAAAAGAAAAAATTAAATTACTTTGTCAACACAGGATGGTAATCGTGAATGCACTTACGCAGAGAATTTTAATGTGTATACGGAACTGAGAAATTAAAAACAGCTTTGGACTCTAAAACCAATCATAGGAAGTTTTGAACCCTAGAGATGCACATATTTTTGATTAGAGTAAAATTTCGATTTGATTTTAACCATTGTTCGTCGGGCTATGTTCGCAGGGTTCTTAAAAACCTATGAAATCGTTCTTGCAAGCAGATCGATACTGAAAATGGTTTAGATCGGTCAAAGAATACGCTCACAATATAATATAAAGTGATAGGAAATTTTTCTTAAAGCAGACCCGTATTAGGTTTTTTCTCCATTACTTGTAAATAAGAACGTCGGTACATGGATAAAAATGTTGTTAACAGACCTTACATAGATATACATAGTATCTAAATGGAAATTGAAAGCGACGGCTCTCAATCAACATTCCAGAATACTAAAAATTATTCTTCGGTCATCTGCAACTCACCCAATCGACAACAGATGTGATGTGTGTTGCATCAGTTATGCTACACAGACATGAAATATACCCACTCTCTCTCTTTTTATAAGGATCGATCTCAGTTTGACTGTCCGTCTGTCTCTCGTTTCATCTTGTGTTCGTATTGCATGTCTCAAGTTTTGAGATATTTTTATATAATTCGCCAGACCGGTCTGTTTCGGCCCCACGACAGACGCTAGTTTCGGATCGGGTTGCTTTTTCCGGCCGCTTCCCGTAGTTATTCTTATTCTAACGAATAATTCTATTACCGCAAGCGATGTAGGGTACTTAATGATAAGACATAGCCGTTTATAGTGTTTTCACGCTGTTCTATCTTTGTTTGTTTTTTTTTTTTAAGTTTCGTTTTAAGAAAAAGTTGGCGACTATGGAGGGAGATTGAACTACAAGTGAATATGATTCTTTTACATACACAACTTAAGAGAGTAAACGGTTTCCAGCCATGACCGTGAAACTTGTTTATCATAGGTTTGTGATCAATGACGTTACTTAACATTAATTAACTTATCAAAAAGGAAAAAAATGTATTTCATTAACAAAATAACTGTGTGAACACGTCTCCGAATACCTTTACGTTTTCTCACCGCTTACTCCTTAATGTTGTAAAGGAAAATTTCCTGACATCCTTTAAAAGATGCGAAATGTCACAGGCCTTCAAAAGAGGACATTTTTGCATATTTCCATAGGTTAAGCAAATAAATAGAAATTTCTTTTATTCTTCTTTGCTCCACATCGGGGAATGCAAAGACAGTAAACTCCAGGATAAGGTCAATAAAAATTTCCTCTACATCTTTCTTTCAGATGAACGCTAGCCATAATCAAGAAAGCTTTCTTAACGATCTGTGCTAAGCCATAAGAGAAATTGAAAGTTAGAAAAAACTACAAAAACCACATATCCTTGACTAATATTTGATTTTTTTCTTTTTTTAATCTCGATTATTTGCATTTTATTCTTTGCTTTACAGCAGTTTTATGCTACCCATCCGCAGTGGCATGGAAGAATATGTTTTGTTTTATTGCCGTATCATATTTAAGTACAAGCAAAAATATGCCAACTTTTCAGGACTTGGTGAAGGGCTTTTATTGCTTTTTTCAGAGGTTTCTCTTGCTCAGAAACTTTTTTTATTCGCTGGAATAAGTTAAGTGTTGTTTGCCGCAACTGTGACTCTTCATTTAAAAGTTAAGTTAATTAACCTTAATCATGTTGAAGTGTTGTAATATATACACATATATATTAATTTTATGAGCATAAAAGCGTGCTTACATATATATGTATTACATAAGATCTCAAGCGTGTGCACGAGTAAAAAAATGAACATTTTTTTTCGGAAACACAAACCAATTAAAGAGATTTTTTTT